ATTCTAACCATCTCATAAGGACTTCTCCTGAACGTTGTGATTGCATTGAGAAGCATACACGCACAAGCGGCTACATTGTGTCACGTGCATTTCCACTTTTACAAGTTAATACGCAGAAGACTCGAGCGCAGCTGACGCACCCTTATCTTAACGACACAGCAAAGCGGAAACCGAGTCTAAAAAAAAAAAGGTTTTAACAGAGTATGTACAGGCAACACGTTATGCTTGACCGATGCAACGGTTCTCGTTCTGTAGCGAATATTCAGTGCGTTTATAACTGGGACAGAGCTGTGATTCCTGCGATTCACCGGGAGCACTCAAACTGAGACGGAATTTCATCCAATTCCTGAAAACAGTTGGACCTTCGTTTGTTGGACATGTAAGAAAATCTACCCAATTAGCGCAAAAGGCGGCACCTAAATTCAAGTAAAAGTAGAACTAAAAGACGGTTGGGGCTAATTGTCGAGGAAAATTTTTAAATACAACGTTACGGCTGAATTTTTAAGACGAATATGTCAAATACAACAAAAAGACTGCATCGCTTGCATGTCAATAATCGCACACTTTGTGTCCCTATTTCGTCACTTTCTCCTTTTTTTGTTGAAGATTGTAAAGTTAACGCCTTTTTCTTCTTCTTTTGTAAACACCTTGACTACTGCTGCGCTTATGGTTTAGCCATGATCATAGCCAACATCCATCGGAGATTCCCCTATTCAATCATTCCGCTAACGCTAATGCATCCTTCCTTCATCTTGCAATAGCACACGTTTTACAAGGACTGATTGATAGATATGTGGGGTTCAACGTCCCAAAACCAATATGATTAAGAGAGACGCCGTTGTGGAGGGCTCCGGAAATTTTGACCGCCTGGGGTTCTTTTAACGTGCGCCCAAATCTGAGCACACGGGCTTACAACATTTCCGCCTCCAGCGGAAATGCAGCTGCCGTAGCCGGGATTCGAACCCGCGACTTGAGGGACAGCAGCCGAGTACCTTAGCCACTAGACCACCGCAGCGGGGCCGTTTTACAAGGAAGAAAACAGGTATCGTTTATGTTAATCTTATCCTGTTCGCGCCGTTGCTGGTTAAGCATTTCCTAAATACTTTTTTTTCCAGCGTTAGTTGGCTGCATCTGCGCGCGCGTATTCTCATGGGGAATATATAACGAAGCAGAAAGCTGAAAACCAAGCTTTTCTCCAAGAAATAAAAAAATAGCATCTTAATTTCATAAAATAGCACCTTTCCTCGAAGAGAGAGCTGAAAGGTGGAAGGAAATAACTGGGCCTTCCCTTAGTTTTCCTGTCAATTCTTTATGGTGGTTGAAAGTTTAATTTAATAATAATAATAAGAAGAATATTTAATAATAATAATAATAATAATAATAATAATAATAATAATAATAATCATAATAATAATAATAATAATAATAATAATAATAATAATGCATATTTTCGTCTCCATGAATTTTTTTGTTGAATCGCGCATGTATAGTTCCTAGTGTTTTGAAACAGATGTAAGTATTGTTTTTTTGCTGTGTTTTTGTTTGTTTATTTCTGCTTCACGCGTTATGCAAAAAAAAATGGTTACCGTTTCAAACTGATTGCAAATCTTTTACCCTCACGGTAATGCCTTGTAGCGTGGCGGGTGTTATAATAAATAAATAAATAAATAAATAATAAATAAATAAATAAATAAATAAATAAATAAATAAATAAAACTACAATAAAAGACTAGTGTAAGGAGGGTCTTTAGTTTCCTTTTTTACCCATCGCGTTTACAAGACTACGTAAGCATACAACTACAATCTCGCTGAGCTCTGTAACAATGTGGGTAGTGTGCTAAATTGTTCTCAACAAATTGGTGAAAAAGAAGTACGGCTCTCTTGGCAGCCTCTTTCAACAACTTCAGAAATTGCGACCAGCCAGTGATGCAGTGGCCTTCCGTGCAGTTTTACAGGGCTAGCGAGCTGAAGCATTGCTGAGGCGTGCACTTTGCATGCGTATGCAAGCATACATTTTGACGCGTAGACACACGCACGCAGTTTACAGGTGTGGCAGCACGTCACGAAACGGTAAACCGGGAAGTTGTGCAACAACAGTTGCGTGACTTCTCTCGTCTTCTTGCAATGCAATGCATGGTTGGTGTCTGAGCAGAGAACCGTAGGTGTGGTAAGCAAATTCAAATGTTAAACCATTATCACTCCGTTAAAGCTTCCCGTAAAAAGGCGTAGTAAATTAGGAAACTCGTTTAATTCTTGTTTTTTTTTGTTGCGTGTGTTTCCGATACGGACCTCCAATTTTTCACGTTCGTATATGGAATAACCCCGTATTGTATGTCTTCTGTCTACATAAGCCTGAGTTACCTTCAGTTCGAAAAAGAATTACGGGTACAGCGAAAAGGGGTAGAGCCTTTTTGCATATATAGACGACTGAAACACTCGAAATAGCAGCCCTGGTTGGGGGAAAGGACGAGCGCATACTGGTTGGCATCATTCCCGACACATCGTCATTACTGATAGAGTTCAATGAGTTGATTAAGCACTAAACTCGTAAAAGAAGGAAAAAAAGAAAGGAAAAGCTTTTTTTTTGACAGCAATGAATGTTAGATTCGGTGTTTTATGACTTCTTTAAATAAACTAAGAGACTAAAGCGATAAGTAGTAGCTGAGCCTATACACAACAATGATATGAGCGCGGGAATATGCTCGCATGTGCGGTTTTAGCATCTACTTATGCAGCAACCGCAAGTGTGCAATGTAACGCACCACGCTGCTTACTTGAGTGTAGTATGGCGTATATTATGCACATGATGAGATCGAAATAATGACACCGCAACGTGAAAGCCCAGACAAAAGAACAAAATGCTGAGGAAACGCTCCTACCAAATAAGAGAAAGCTAAAGAGAGTGAAAATAAAACCATTGACTTCAGATGAAAAAAATGACAAAAAAATTAGAGAGTTGATCAAACAGCCATTCGCTGTTTTACAAGAAATAAATAAAAATTGGTTTGCTTACTACATTCGTGCTAGACTTTATCATCTTTTTGTTTGGACCAAAAACCGAGTAGGATTACGAACATTCTGAGCACAATATTAATAAGTAACTCGCATTCGTAGAATAGATCACTGTTTGCCCCCATTTACTCGAGCTCTACTATACTGAGGGTCTCCATTACACTAGGATCCACACGCTTTCGAGCTATGAATCCCTGAGGGTTTCCACAACGTGGCTGCGCTGTACTACTACGAGAGTTACGATCTAAGAAGCACGAATGCCAGACGACGCACTGAAGTGGCATTACGAGCAGGAAATAAGTACCCTTTGTTGTTTCAGACAAGTATTATAGGTAAAAAAATGTTAGTGGCAGCACGGAAAAATCACTACATGGTATCGGTTTTTCTGCGGAGGGGTGGGTGCTCTTGCTCTAAAGGTAAGGCCGGATGCGACGGCGGTGTATTAAAAAAGAAATGAAAATGAACGTTGCTTTCAATCACAAATAATGACAATTCTGTGTAGTTCAGCACCATGTCAATAAATAAAGAATGACGATGATATATATATATGTCGATATATATATATATATATATATATATATATATATATATATATATATATATATATATATATATATATATATATATATATATATATATATATATATAAATAAATGTTCACAGAGGAAACAACATCGTACCCCACCCATACAGAGTTCCATTGAAGAGAGCGACTCACGTTGCAGTACTTGCATATAGAATACCTCCAGCAGCGTATGCACAATGAAAATGACCTTATATAAAAATTATGAAGTGCATTTCTTGCACTCTAAAGCAGCGGCTCTGAGCTTTCTGAGAGAAGAATGTGATGCAGCGTCACACCTTGTACACCTGTGCTTCCGAGCATCAGACAGGAAATGAGCTTCATTTGGCCACTACGACTAACGCATGGCGCACGCAGTATCCGTGGCGTAGCGCTGAAACGGCAAAATCGAAAGCAACAAGAGCCATTCAAAGCAGTTCGGGCCGAGCAGCTGTTCACCCCCGCAAGGAAGGGTGATTCGCTGCTGCATCCCGGTCGAGAAGAAAATATACCGGCGCGGCTGCCTTTCTTGCGCTTTTTTAAAGGGAGTGGCGCCATTGGAGTGCGTGTGCTCACGAACTGCCGCACGCACGACCGATACACAAACGCACACACACAGACACGCACACATACACAAAAGGTGTTGTACTGTCGGTCAGCTGCATAAAGGGACCCCGTAAAATGATGCGATGAACTACGAAACATCGATGACTATATCCGCGAGCTGCGCATGCATAACAACGTTTTGTGCAGCGTAGACCTTAATGTGCCAAGCACGTGGCTGAGCAATGGGAGAGATGGGTGGCTCTAGAAAGTTTCATCCGTAGAGACACGTGGAAACTCAGACCATCACCTGGGAAATATTTCAATCAGTCGTGGCTCAGCTGCGACTGTTTTTTTCTTCTGTTTTATAGGTTTGGACTTTGTTCAGTTGGGCAATATTTACTCCGAAGCCCATTTTCCTGGCTATACTGATGGCGCCAATGATCACACTGCGAGCCCACACGAGGGATTTTAGAGAGAACAGTGGACAAACATGGTCGACTTTAATGGACGGGAGGGCTGGATAGCGACGCAGAGGTGACGAAAGGTAAGCGTGCGTTGTCACGCAAGTGTCGCTGACCTTCGTACTGCACCCGAAAACGTGCAATGGGGGAAGCATTGCGCTGCTGCTCAATCGCCACGGCACGAAAGGGAGTATTTCGCATGCTTGAAAGTGAAGCTCGCACGCTGGCGCTCGGTGGGGGAAGGGGGGCGCGTGTGAGAACAACATTATCGACTGCCGACTCGAGAAGTGAATCTCGGGCTTGGAAATAGCTGGCTAGCCCTTCAGGCGCCTCTCCCTTTGGAACGCGAGAACGAGGCAGCCGCGCCTCTTGAAACGCGCGCCTAAAACGCGCACGTCACGCAGGGCGCTTAGCGCTCCTCAGACGACGTCCCCCGGGGAGTCGTAGAGGTCCTCGGTCGCGTCACCGTCCCGCCCGCCTTGAGTTCCACCGTCGGCCAAGTCCAAGGATGAGGGAAAAGGCGAGCCCATCCGCGTGCGCGTCCTGGTACTGTCACCGCCGCTCCTCGGGGAGGCGCTACCGGGCTGCTGCTTGGGGCTGCGCGGCAGGAGCACCGTGGTCTCGCTGACCGATTCATCGCTGCCATAAGGGAGGGAGCGATAAAACAGATGTCTTAGAATCTTCGTTAGAACAACACTTTCATGAAGAAAACTTTCTCTTTCACTGCTTTCTTGCACTCCGCGCATGCTGTCTGCAAAATGCACGTCAGTGCTATCTGAATAGACATTGCAGCAGTATCTATATACAATGATATCATACGAGACAACTCGTGGGGCAAGATATCACAGAACTGTAGCTGTCGACAGAAGCAGCGGAGAGTGGCAAAATAACAAAAGGAAGCATAATTGTATCCATGAATGCGTTGACCTTGAAGTGCTGGGATGCACTGACGTGAAGAAATCATGACACTTCAGTAACTCTGAAAGAACGCTTTGCTTATAAACTTCCCACATAATCCTTCAATCCGCAATTTTTTATAAACTTTAGTGTTTTCTCCTATATGTTTGTCCCTTGTTCTTCGTTAGGTAAACTCAACCCCAGTTAATACTGAATCTACTGACCTGCCATCGTCTTCCACGAGCGCCTCTTGCCGCTTTAGTGTTTGGTGATGTGTTGGTGTTGGAGACGTTGGAGTCCTGTTGCTACCTTCACCGGCCGAGAACGAGCACTGATTTCCCGACGGACTCAGCGAAGATCTGAAAAGTAAAATACCAATGAGTCAGAAACCGAACATGCAAAATTGGCAGATTTACTGCATAAAAAAATAAAGTTGCACACTAAATAGAGTAGGGCATGGCTGCTTTGTGCATGGTGTAGTCTTTTTATGTTATTTTAACACAAATAATTACATCCAGCTAAGGCAAGTTGACTATTTTTCAATATTTTTCAAGGGGGAGCTTGCGCAGAAAAACGTTGTTGTGCCCTTTTACAAGCCGGTCGTGGCAGCACGCCCTGCGTGCCTAGATTACGCACAGGTAATCTTCGACGGATGGAGTACAGAGCTACAGGCTAAGAGCGAGCCGACATGGCTGGTAGTATCATGAGCGCTGTCTTCGTGCACGCCGAGTGTCGGAGTTTCTGTAATCCCAAGTTTCATAAACGCCGCTGAAACTACAGGTGGCATAAAGCGTTCGCTCCCCGCTGCACAGTATCAGGCCAGCTTCATGACACCAAATACCCGTGGTCATTGAGTGAGAACTGTTTATGTCTGCGTGTGCTCTCGCGGCACCATGCTTGTTCATTACCTTCGTAAGCAGATATATACTGCAGTTTACATAGTCGACACAACTGCAAACCTAGCATAGCCAGGTGGGAGGGTTGATAAATAAAGCCCCCTCTCCCCAATTATCAGTTTGGCATGTGTGTACAAATATTACGTGTACTACACGTGCACAACACAGGCACAAACGTACATAAATGTTTTCAGAATCCCAACCCCTTTCTCTTGAAAAAAAAATCACGGCATATCCACGGAGTGAATGATGATGAGTGGGACGAAGATTCGGAGGGTTTTATCGCTAAATCGTGAATCATCCGCCCGTCTATACGCCCGCCCGCCCGCCCACCTGTCTGTCTGTCTGTCTGTCTGTCTGTCTGTCTGTCTGTCTGTCTGTCTGTCTGTCTGTCTGTCCACACCTGCTGAGTGAGTCATCGAACAAAGTGGTCACGTACGGGATATAGAAGGGACAGACCCACGGCTTTAGGAGCTTCACCCCTAAAAAAACTTCTGGCTGCGACCTTGATCGTGTAGGTGTCCAATACTTCGCCACATCGGTCGATGTTCACCTTTCTATGAGTAAAAGAAAATTTTCTTCCTAGTCGTCTCAGATAAATTCTAAACTAACGAAAACAATGACGCTTAATCCACGCGTTGACTTTATAGGTGATAATTTTTATGAACACGGTCAAGTTCACAGAAAGATTCGGCGGATCTCCCGTACGAATCGATGTCATGAGAAGCATGTGGAAGGAAGGTTACTGTTGTGCAACTTTTTTTGTGGAGTGAAACTTTCCCAATTGACACTAAGCATAAGTAATCGACTGCTATAGGGAGTTTACCGTCCCAAAATCACCTTATAATTATGAGATAAGCCGTGCTGGAGGGTGTAAGAAACGAAAAAGGGGACCCTGATGTGATCGTCTGGCCACGTCGAAGGTTAAAGGAATAACTGAGCGAGCCAGAACCCCTAGCTCATGCTCGTGCCCGCCATCCCTTCTTCCTCCTTTATTTGCAACACACTACCGCGGCCGTGAAATTCGTGGCAATGTTCGGGTGCACAGCGGCAGAAGTTCAGGCGGACATTGGCGAGCAAAATGCGGACGATGGAAAGGGTGGGGTTGTTACACGGTGATGACGGAGGGCTTTGGGGAGGCGGTGGCTTGTCTTGCAGGGGAAGTCGTCCAATATGATGCCTAAAGTACTTCCTGGTCACGTTGTTAGCTATAATAAGGTCATACTGGAAACTTTGACACTTCTTGCGTCGCTTGTAGTATGTGTAGTATGATATTGGCCTCACTTCATGGACTCACGAGGTGTTCCGAAAATTTGCGCACTTCTTGGGAGTGATGTTTGTCCTGTGCTCCTGGTGTTGCATCTGAAGCTTCTCGGTAGGTGCTGCACGGTCATTTGCTGCTCGTGCACTTCAGTGGTCACGTATTCTTTCGCCTGTGCCTGGCTGGGAGGTCCATCCAATGGGCATGAAGACTCCAAGGTCGACGATGATTCTTCTTCCTCGTTTGACGAGGACAACGATGATGCAGAAGCATCCTGGCTTTGTTGTGCAGCAACCGCATCAAGCAGGGGCCTCTCGGCTGTTTTCGGTGACGTCGGAGACTCGTTCACGTGCACTGTTGTCGGTAGTGGAGTGTCGAAGCATGTCTGAGCGTCACGAACAATTACTAACGTCAAGCTGATGTCTTCATTTTGAAGATTATGAGCCACGACGTGTACTTGGAGCCATCACCGCCACGCAGGTGCATCCGATTGGATCTCACAGGTGCATCGGATCTGCATGAATACTCTGTGAAGTCAATGAAGATTCTTCTTCGTCGCTTGACGAGGATCACGACAATGACGATGGTGCAGATGTATCCTGATTCTGTTGGCCAGTGACATCGCTAAGGGCGGGAATGTCGGCCACGTTCGAATGCAGTGGAGGTTTGTCTACGGGCTTTGTGGCCGGTAGCAGAATGTCGGCGTCCGTCTCGGCGTCGCCAATGATGACTCACGTTGAACTGACGTTTTCTGGTACATCTGTTGAAGTTATGGTGGTGTTTTTGGAGACGTCGCTGCATGATTCTCCAGACGACTTGTCGATCATGGTGTGTCCCTTTTCGCGAGAGTCCTTGTTTGCTCCGAATCCCTGCATGATCTGCATGGCGTAGTGATGGAGCTGTGTGGTGCAGCGCTCGTACGCCCAGCACAGGTCTCTGGCGTCAGGTGCTATCTCCTTGTGGTATTTGGTGGCGTCATAGACGGTCATGGGGTCCGTGTACCTGGTGGAGTGCGGCTCGTAGCAGCGCTGCGACTCGCACTCTCGATCGTCAACTTGCTTGGGCTTGAGGGGAGACGAACTGGAGACCCTACTGACAGTATCAGGTCTGAGGCGCATGTAGGACGAGAAGTAGGGTTCCGCGTGTTGTTTGTTGGACAAGTCTTGGAGGTTCATGGTTTCGTGCGATGAATAGTACATGTGTTCGCCCTCATGGTCTGGGAATATAGGACTGCATTGATGAGCTGCAGCTCAGACCGCGGGAAACCGCGTACTTGTAGTCGATGTGCATGCTATACTCGGAATTTCCCATGGACATCGAACTCTCCACGGCGTACCTTCTGGACGAGTCTGTGCACTGAAGCGCCGTGGATCGCGTGGAAAACAGCAGGTCTTTCGGCGTGCGCTCAAAACTCGTTCGAGTTGTGGTTGATGTTGATATCGGCCGACCAGTGGAAGGCGAAGTCGTCACTTGCTTCGAAGTTGATGCGAGAGGAGTTCTGAGGCTGGTCGTGAGTGAAGTCTAAGCCTGCTGCGATGTCGGTACGAGAGGAGTCGTGAAGCTGGTCCAAAGCGAAGTGGCGGCCTGGTCCGACGTTGAGGTGAGAGGGTTCAGGAGGCTGGTGGAAGGCGAAATCGCGGTCTCCGATGTGGATCCGAGAGGGGTCGAGAGGCCGGTCGAAAGCGAAGTTGCGGCCTTCTCGGACGACAAGGCTACAGGGGTCGAAAGACTGATAGAAGGTGACGTCACGGCTGGCTGCGATGTGAATGCGAGAGGCTTACGGAGTGCAGTGGTAGTGACGGCAGCCGATGCTGGTGGGGTTGGCGGCCATGACTCTGAAGCAAGGCGAGTTCTCCCTTGAGCGCAAGCTACTTTGTCCTCAAAGTCACTGACTGTGATCAGGTCCGCTCCCAAGTCTTCGTAGGGAAGGTAAGCCTTGATCTTTCTGTCGAGGTTCATTAGGTGGGCGTATTTCGCGACGAGAATTGCGAGCAGCTTCCGGAGCCTGAAAGCAGGGGTCATTGAGTCGGCTAGAAGGGCGTCGAGCATTGAAATGTCTTTAATGATGGCTATCCGGTATAAGACGCGCTGTACTTGGAGTTTATCTATGGGCGAGAGTTGAGGACCAGACGACTGGGTGGGTTTCGGCACAAGAACAAAGTGTGAAAACGAAGAAGGGGACCCTTACCGGATCGTCTGGCTACGTCGAAGGACAAAGGAACAACTGAGTGAGCCAGTGCTCTGGCTCGTGCTCGTGCCCGCCGCCCCTTCTTCCTTTATCATTTGCAACAGAGGGCTTCAGAAATTTTGAGCACCTGGGGTTCTTTAACATGCACCCAAGTCTGAGCACACGGGCCTACAGCATTTCTGACTACGTCAAAATGCAGCCGCCACAGCCGGGTTTGAATACCGTGACCTGCGGCTCAGCAGCCGAGTACCTTACCCACTAGACCACCACGGGGGGGGGGGGGCGCTAAAATTATGTACAGATCTTATACGCACAAACTTTTAGGTTGAACAGTCGCTAATGTTTTATATAACCAGATGTTTACACTTGCGTAACGATACCAAGAGCAACGTAGGTATTACAACAGCAGAAGCGATAAGCTGAAATGAAGCTCTTGTGCTTGCGAGGATGGTAGCTCTGGATAGTGCTACGTAGATGAATTTCAGTGGGTGGCAGTTAATTACAATTGACGCTGACTAGACGCTAACTAGATGTGGCGCGACGCCTGCATCAGTGTAATACATATGTAATGTTTATGAAATAGGATGGGCAACACTGCAGCCACAGTGGACGCTTAACCAACATGACGGCTGCATAAGGTCTTTTTCCAAAGCAGTTCCGAAATTTGGCGTGACTCTGTGATAGAATACTTGATTGCCAAGCAAAATAATTGCTTTCAATTCTTGCTGGGAACATAACCTCTATTGTTTGTATTCATAGTGTCAACTATGCTGCTGATGTCTGTTTTTCTTAACGCGGTCACGTTTAAATTACCAATGTCTGTTCTCTCCATTCCGCAATAGATATAAACCGTCGAACACATGTAGCGCATACCAGATTACCGCGGCCCGTAGAATACGGGTATATGTCACATGTGTCTGGAGGAAAGGGTTTGACGTTTTACGCGACGAGATTTTTACATTATTAACGAAATAGCGTTAGAGAGCTCGGGTCACAGAAAATCTGCCGTCGGCGTTGGCCCCGTTAATTCTGAGGGAAAAATCGTCTGTGTGTCTGTGGCCGAACAATCAAGTTATCGAGATAGCCGTGGGAGGCCGATACTTGTCCACGTGCGCGCGCGATCACACTGGAAAGCCGCGCGTTGGCAGAAAAAAAAAAGTGCTCAAGGTCACGAGGTGCGGTAATTTCTTTGCCTGCCACCCCTCCCTGCTTAGCTTCCAGCGCTTTCGTCGGGACGAGAGAAGAGATAATGCAATTGCAGAATGCGACAAACCTTTGTAACTCCACTCGCACTAGATGGATTCTTGAAAATTTTGTGGCGTTGAATTCGTGAGGCAATAAGCTCTTCTAATGAATTAATCGCATGGTTACTTGAAGAAGTGTTTCAGGGCCCTTTTAAAGCATTTTGTTCGACAGGGGTCACGACGAAAACGAGCACATTCGGCGATAAGAGCGCACGCTGGTACAATCTACTGTGTGCGTGTTTGTGTACGTGCGTGTGTATGTAACAAAGCATAATAATAAGTATGCACCTAGCAGTTGGAGGGTGCACTAGGGGTTGGATTTCGCTATCGCATTTAACTCTTGAAGGCGAAGCTTAGGGGTCCCCCGATTTTTGATTGCATGACCAGACAGTCATAGTTGTCAAACTTTCTTACCCTCCCTTACTAATTTTGGTCTAGGCTTCACGTTGAGGAGGTGATCACGAGAGCCTCCAGACGTAGGCGGGTAAATAGATAGATAGATAGATAGATAGATAGATAGATAGATAGATAGATAGATAGATAGATAGATAGATAGATCCATCTGAAGCGCAGTGGATGTATACAGTATATCCCTGTTTGATGACGTACAGCGATGTTTGGACAGGAAGACACGTAACCTTACTTTCTCATTAGACGAAACTTAATGCCATGACTCGCAGGTGTGCTAAACAAACATTCAGTGCAGTCCACAAAACGTCATGTGGCCTATTCTAGCCACACATACAAAATATTGAGCTCGAGCAGGACTACTAAAAAGAATTCATTCTCGAATAGGATGGCGACATCATTCGTGCAAGCTCCATCACAGAAAGAAAATAAACGATAATACGAACCTCAGCAGTTAGATGATGGACACCAATATTATAGTGCTTTCAAGGACGTATGCTAGTTAATCTTTCCATTTATCCAATATTTACGCGGGCGTAGGGACAAGTTGAAATATACTTCATCCTTGGTGTTTCAAAAAAGCCCTCAAGGGAAATATTTGACGCAATGTCTAAATGCATATTAAATGGTGGACATGATATTTTATTTACTTTATTTATTTATGATTACTGCAACCCTCTAATAGAGTTTTTGTTGAGTGGATGTACATCTGTTAAGTTTAAATATGGGCGAATAAACAAAAATGAAACAAGTAGGGTATGCACAGGCTTTCAGAAGAGAAAAAAGGCAATGGTTTGCAATTAACAGGCATTAGGGCATATAATAAATGCACAAGGTATCAATGAAGCTGAGTCACGTGGTGAGAGGTTGCTTCTAATTGCAAAGTTGTGTAGTGGCACTTACCTTCTGGGAGGTCTGGGCGAGCGTGGTTCCGCGGTTTCGTCCAGGCTCCTGCTGGTGCTGCCCTCGGGCGAGATGAGCCGCAGCGATGGCAGCGCCGGCTGAGTGTTGGTGGCCTCCTCACGACGCTGCGGTGGTGGAAGCACGCGCAGTCGAGGCAGGCACGGAATCAGCTCGATGGTCTGACCAGGCGCGCAATGCGACGAGTCGATGACGATGGCCAGCTCGGAGAAGGGGTGGCGGTCAGCGCTGCAGTCGGTGGACGAGCAGTCAGTGCCCATATGTTCCTCGTTAGTGGACGGAAGCGAATCCGAGGACGAGGAGCGCTGGCAGACGAAGAGAGGCGATGCGGCGCGGCCGTCCACGGGACTCCGCGCGTTGCTGGTCCGGGGGCTCTTGCACGGCCGCCGCGGCCGCTGCTCACCATCGTCCGAGTCGGAGGTGGAGTGGGTCGCTACAGCGGCAGCCATGCTGCTCTTGGACGGGTTGCGCGACAGCTTGGCTTCTGCCACCAGCAGTTCGTTGGGCAGCGACTCGGAGCTGGGCGTGATGCCGGGCGAGCTTCCCGGCGTGGGACGGCGGTGCTTCTCTCCCTTGCGGTGCTTGTCCGCCTTGCGGCAGCGTGGGCTCTCGAAGCTGATGCTCTTGGCGAACGGGGACGTGGCCCTGGACACGTCTCGCTCGGGGACGTCGAACTTTCCCGTGTCGAGGATGATGTCCACGGAGCCTCCGCCCCGGATGCATGACTTGCTCATCCTAATTTCCGCGATGTCGATGCCTATGCCCTCATCATCGACAGAGTCCTCTGTGCTAGTGGTTTGGTAGTTGTGCCGCGTGGCGCGGTACTTACCCTTAAGCGTCACGCGGTCCTTGAGTGACGGCGTGGCAGGGCACAGGGCTCCCCCTATAGACGACCTACGCTTCTGCAGCAGTGGTGATGTCGGCCGGTGTGCCTCGAGATATGGATAGGCCTGGGCCACCGGGAATTGAAACGCCTTGGTGCCGCATGACAGGTAGTTTGGCGATAGTGAATGGCCGCTCTTGGGGGAGACACTGGCGCGCCGGCCCTGGTGCGCGGGGTTCTCCAGCTCGTCAGCGATGGGACTGCTCGAGTTGCACCTGGACAGTCCCGGGCTGGAGAGCGAAGAGTACCCGGACGTGCTGAGATTCGACTCCGATATTGTGCGGTCCGCTGAGGAGCACATAATAGTTAGCGGACTTAGATAGTTCATGGTCTTGCAGGATGGGTTCGGAGTTCTGGGCGGGCTCGGCGCTTCCTCGGACTCGCAGGAGCTCATGTTTGCTGTGATCAGGATCTTGGGCATCGGCAGGTCGACGGAATATTTCCTCGGGACGCTCAGATCCGTGGCCTTCTGCTTGCAGCCACTGCCCACCTTCGGTAGGCTCAGCATAGACACCTGGGCCGTGTCCTGCTGCTGCTGCTGTGGTTGTTGCTGTTGTTCTTGCTGCTGGTGCTGCTGCTTCGCTGGGGACTTTGGGAATGTGGCTGGTGAGGCGGCCATCATTGTCTTCTGAAGCAAGTCTAAGAAAGCTCCTTTTGGGTCGCCTCCAGCGGCTTTAGGCGACGTGGGCTCCGCCTTGGGAGTTGCCAGTGTTTCCATCACCTCCGTCGTCTCTATTGCCGTCGTCGCACTCGGCGTCTCCTTGGCCTTCTCTTCCAGCGAGGACGACTGCTGCTCGACAAAAGAGCGAGGCGACGGTGAGCGTGAGCCACCGCTGGCCACGGCGTCCTGGCGACACAAGGTCTCAGCCCCGATGGAACATCGCGAAGGAGACTCGGGTATAGGCGTCACCTCGACCTGCACCTCGCTGGTCTTAGGTCCCGCACTTATGCTGTCCGAAGAAGAATTTTGCTCCTGCGACTGCTCCCGGATAGAGTGAAATTCTGTGGTTCTCTGGATAAAACTAGTCTCCATACTTCCCTCGCTGGCAATGGATACGTCCGATATGTCCCCGGGGGTCTCCTCGCGCCTGATGCTCTGTATCTTGCGCTCGCTGAGCTTGATAAACTCATCCAAACTCATCCTCCGTTTTCCCGGCGATTTCGACGAAGTGACCAGCGAGGCTAGGATTCGCGAGGTCTCGGACTCCTTCTCCTTAGGAGCCGGGCCCGGACCACTGGTACCAGGCATCGGGTTGTCGCTGTCGCTGGAATTGGCTGACTGCTTTTTAGAGCCGGAGGACTGCGACGATCGCTTGAGGAGCTCATCGAAGCTGAACGTGCAGGCCCCCTGCTCCTTGTCGGACGGGCTGGAACCGCCCTGTGCACTTCGGATGCTGTGTCGTCGAATGCGGCTCAGCAGTGACCGCTGACATGGTTGCGGGCTCAGACTAGCGGGCGTCAGGCTCGGCTGGGTGGAACTCAGGCTGTAACGTGTCGCGGGCGGCGACGGATCTGCGAACAAGTACGCATCGTGTAACTGACTTGGCTTATATTTATTGTTTAGATCATTAATGGTGGTGCTCGATCGTCCCCGACATTGCGTTTACGAACCTTTCGTTGTGAGCTATACTAGCGACATCTTTGTTTACTTTGGCAAACAATACTATAGCTACAAGCTTCACATGGAACGTGACAAATAGGCACAATGATGAACGGTAAAAATGATCTAATACTTGTGGCCTTTGCCCTAGTATAAGTGGTGATATATTTTCGAAGTATATATAAAAAGCACTAATTACATGATCATAACCACAAAACAAATCGAAAAGAGAAAATGATAAATATTGTGTATGCTACTCAACTGTTTTTGCTGCGTTCAATCTCTTCAGCAAGGAACTTCTCGATCTTGTCGGCGAACTTGCGTTTTATGCAGTAGACAAGCAATATGAGCAAAAGCACAGCTGAGACGGTGATCAGCCCTAACCAGAAGGGCTCTTCAAGCATCCTCTGACTTAGAGGACGGTACGGCAGACGGAACAGCTGCTTCTCGCAGCGCAACCCTGAAAGAAACAAAATATTTGATAATCTTCAATATAAATGCCTAATTACATAACTGCTAAACATCACCACCAGGTTTATCGTATGAGGGTTCAATGGACAGAGTGCACGTTTATATTTTATTAGAAATTAAAAAAAAATGTTAACTATAGTGACAGAATTGAGCATGCTTTTAGTGATTTCAGTAGCATTTGTTTTTGTACTTTTCTTTAAGATGTTACAAAATTTGGTACGTAGCTCTGCCTGGTGGACAAGCCTTCAAACTGCATGAAAGAGCCTGTCAGATGGGTGTACGTAGACTGAGGTTGTTTACATGCGCCCTAGTTTATTCTTAATAATAAATTTTGGTATCAGACATCCCCACTGAATTTTGTGTTTATTAAAAGGAAAAATCCCTGAAAAAGAGAAGCGGAGCTGCCTTCGCGGCCACTTGTGGAACCAAAAACTGGTTTAGTGCCCACAGGGACGACACCACTTGAGCCCGTTTTCGTTTCCCAGCGTGGAACTGGAAGCCCACGTAGCGTTCGCGTGCAGTGTACCACCTCAAGCAAACACGAGCGACCACAACAAAGGCTTTATTGATTTAAGTTGTTTACCAGCGTATAATCGCTATCATGCTACCATACCATTGTTTGTAGCATATATTTACTATAAAATCGCATGCGTGCTGCACAGTGAAAACTTCTGTAAAAAGTGTGACAGCTAGCTTTCCGCGTTAAGATAAATTGACGAGACACCCCGACTGGTAGGCGTTCCACTGCACAAAAAAAACAGGTACCATGAAAACTAGTTGTAAGGCAATTTAAGAACACTTTGGTACGGTGTTATCAAAGGACCCTATGCGGCACAGTAACGCCAAATTTCCCAGATTGACATTAAGATTCATGGCAGTTACCGAGAGAAAATGGAATTATTCAAAGAAACTGTTATGAATTGTATGAACTGGTTCAACAGCGCACTTATACATATGCAATGAGGCAGCGTACGAGACTCTTCGCTCCCAAGAGAAAACGAAACGTAGTTGAAATAGCGGACACACAACCTATATTTTCTTTTGGAAACTTGCTCGAGCAATTACGCCGGAACGCGTTATATCACTCATGCAGCCACGCTATATAAAATACGATGTATATGTAATCACCCATTCGCAACATGTACTTGATCAGGAATTTAAGATTTGTACAAACTTTGCAGCGAATATTGCTGCTCACAAAAATACTTTTACCTGTTCAGCATACACTTCAGTGCTTTCAGCCCAAGCAAAAATAATAGCCTGTGAAGCATATCTTCGAAGGGTACCATTGGGACATTCTTAAGTGAGCGATTCAAAAGGAGCTTGGAATGACGCCCCATGGTATCTAGTTTTTTCTAATAGAGTATGGAAAAAGAATGAATGATGGATTATATGATAATGTTTCTACGTGTGCCATCTTTTGAAAACTAGAAAGCCTGTGGGAGCTGCGGATTTACGTGTTCAGTTGAAAATAACAATCCCGTTTAGAAAATCACAAAAGTTATTGATAAATAGGCCGAGTCTACGCGCTTTGTGACGATGTGGAATGGTTTGAAGAACAAGAAAATTGAATAAATAAGCCACCCGAGGCATGCAAGCAGTCTGCTTGCTTGCTTTCTAGAAGCTTGTTATATTTGACATGCATTGACAATAGCAGCCCAGGCTCTTCCTTGGTTTACCCCACTATGCATCGACGGCTGAGACCATTGCCATTGCACAGGAATACGCAATCAAGACGCACATCACCATTGAAACGATGCGTACGTACCTCAGGCAACATGCTAGGAATCCTCCCCACCACTTGGCAACCCTCGCTACTAAGAGGCCCCGCACGAAATTTAGTGCAATTGACTGTGCGCATCCTGCATCGTTTACGTCAGGTTTTACGTCTGCGGAGAAATTGGTGTATCCTCTGTCGTGCCTGACACTTTCGCAAGTGCGTATTTTAATTCAAGGAATACAGAAAAAAATCAAAGTTGCCTTTGTCAGTCCTAAAACAATTGAGTGTGCACCTCTTGCACGAAATGTAAAATAACCACGCGCACATATACACCGATGGTTCAACCACAGCGTCTGCTTCTGGCGGTGCGGTGGCGATTCCAGGTAGAGAAATCACTCTGCTATAGTCAAGCTGTCACACGTCACTACGTCTACGGCGGCAGAACTTGCGGCTTTGCGTGGCGCCCTAGAGTACATAAAATCCCAGAGACCGAGTAAATGGACGGTGTTTTCAGACTGGAAACCGGCCTTACAGAGCACGCAGTCAATCCTTCGACAAGGTTGCCACAAACAGTTAACATACGAGGCTGTCAAGCTTCTTCACTACGTCACAGAAACAGGCCACGAGGTCAATTTTCAGTGGCTACCTGGTCCATGTGGGATCAGTGGCAATGACTCCACAGACAACGCGGCTCGCACATACCACCAAGAAGAGCACACCCTTCCGATTCCTTTGCCAAGGACAGGCGCTGCAAAGAAACTTCGTCCCCTGGCCCGTAGTCTGTGTCTGTTGGAGTGGAACACCCCAAGCATAAGACATATGAGAGTCTACCAAATAAATCCTCAACTGGAACTTTGACCTGCATCCGGACTTCGTCGACGTGAAGCTTCGCTTCTTTGTCACCTTTAGTTGGGGGTTGCCTTCACAAAAGCATATACAACCCTCATTGGATTGACCGACAATGCGGAACGCGACGTCTGCGACACCAAAGAAAACATCGACCATCTGCTATGCCGTTGCCCTCAATTCGTCTCTGAAAGACAGAAGTTTTCTGACGCATTGCGACAATAGGATGATCGGCCACTCTCTATGCAGATACTACTGGAGCACCATCCTTGTCTTTCGTCGGCTCAAAAGGCAGTCAAAGAAGTCTTGTGCTTTTTGAGGACTACAGGCCTATGTGAACATCTTTAACTTTTGTGTAGTGCCACCGCTGCATACGCGTCAGCCCATTGACTGACAATCCTTTTTTTGTCGCTTTCTCTTCTCTTTTATCTCTCTCTCTTTCATCGTTATACTCCCCCTTCCCATTCCCCCAGCGTAGGATAGCAAACCGGGCATGTGTCTGGGTAACCTTCCTGCCTTCTCTCTTGTTGTTCTTGTCCTGACAGACCATGGCAAGGACATCACAAAGAACTAACAACTGAGCTTGTGGCTAGAGATTAATAATTACTGAACGATGCCACGAAGCAGGACATTGAAACGAGGGAGCATACGAAATACAGTCGCCACAGCAAGGACAGCAACGTCCGTAGCACAGCAAGGACAGTAGCGACCACAACAGCAGCAGTAACAAAGCTTCCCCTGTGCAGTGAATGCTAAGAGTATCTTGTTATCAAACATACTTTCAGGTTCTACCTAATACGACTACGGCTTACAGGGAGCGCAAAGCTGCCCCCCCCCCCCCCTTATATGGCCTAGTCTGGACAAGACAACTGCGCTTCGCTAATCTCAAAATTAATGCCCTGAAAGGTACGCGTACGTTTCTGCTCCACGTTCTCGCGCCAAATCCAACTTGTGCAAAGTTATTAGTTTAAGCAAGAACGTTAAGCGATGTCATTGCTGTACACAACTCCACTAATCTACGTAAACAAAGGATGGTTCTGTGGCAAACCCGAAGAATGCACAGACTGGCACAGGCGCTTTGTGTGTTTCGTGCAAAAGAACTTTTGCGAGAATGACTCGATGCTGGCAACGACCTTGATGATTATCAGTATGTACAGCAAAAAAAAAGTGGCGTACCTTCAAAGAAGATATTGCATTGGCATACGAAGGATCCGTTAATGGCAACACAACGGCCCTGGGGCCCGCAGGGATGTTCTGCGCACGGGTCCACTGTCTGGGTGCAGTCAGGACCCTGAAAACCCTGCTGGCACGAGCACTGTAGCGCCCCCGATGGCGACACGCTGCAGTTGCCGCGGCCGCTGCAGGCGTCTCCCACGTCACACACGTGCACATGGCAGAACATAGCTGCGCCAGAATGCACATTTTCGTTCACTCGTAAGGGCCTGACCACACGTAGCCTACCCATTGGAGTGCGTCAGCGCCTGGAATTTTGACATAGCGCCGCGTGCTCTCTCTATGAAGAGAGTGGGCGCGCAGCTTCGTCTAGCCAAGTGCCCTCTCTCTCTGTCGGGAGAGGGCGTGAGCCGCGTCAGAAAGCCTTGCGCTCACGCGCTGCAACGTGTATGTGTGACCAGGCCGTTAGTTGGTAAAGCAGAACACTTGCGTAATGTCAACAACAGAACTGTGCGTAGCAATATTCCTCTTTGTCTCTTTTTCGTTCCGCTAGTTTTCGGACAGCAAGAGCGTGAACCTTAGAAGGTATTGCAGGTGTTTGTAACATAAGAAGGCTTAGCTCCAAATGTCACTTCCTGATAAATGGAACAACATTCAAATTTTCCCAAAGTTTCTCCGCCATTTTACCAGCAATCTCATACGGGTTTGATGAGTTGTAGCAAGAAATAATTTTTTTTAGAAACTACGGATCAATTTCTATTTTAATAAGAGCACTGTATCTGGTAATTTTAGTGCCATTGCTTATATAGGACTCGCACTGGCAAAGTTTTCAACGGCCTAACATTCTTTTAGGAGGTAGCGAGCCTGGTTATGTGTCGGCATACAAAGCGCTGTAAAAATAAATAGGAAGGCAATAAAGATGCACACATGTCTCTTTAATTGTCCCTGTACCCCTTCACCCCTACGATGAATATATCACCTAACAACTATTTCGCCCACCACACTGCTGCCGATCGACGTCGAGTATAGTGTCGAGTCCGAGTACCTGCAAATGGTGGAGTGCAACTGCATAGGCGCTTCTTCGAAGTGACGTCTTCGATGCAGGATCCTCCGTTAAGGCAAGGGTTTGGGGTGCAGGAGTCCAGAGAGACATCTGCCAGCAATGTCACGGTTTTGTCCAGGTACAAAGGATCTGGGCAGGAGAGACATTCAAGGAGCTAATGAACGCAAGGTGCGAGCATGCACTCACTACACTGAATAATGCTTAATAGTTCGAACATCACATCTGTTCTCTTACGACGTCTGTTGAAGTTTTAGTAATGAGTTAGATAAGCCTCATTTATGGTCATGCTCACATACAGAGGTGACGATGCCCTCTCCCAAGAAACACAGGGCTTTTTGTTTCCAATTATGGCAAGTAGATTAGGCAATGCAGTATGATTGGTGCTTCATATAATCTTGAAACGCCTTTTGTCGAGCTCTTAACGAGCTTCAAATATTCCTATTCTGATCGAATGGTTACAGTTATGTTCAAATTTTTATCTGATTCACTAGCCTACACTGCCCCGGTACATGTATCTACAAAAAAAGTCGGAGCGCCGAACCAGTGGATCCTCTATCCGTCACGGTAGCCTAGTGGCTAAGGTACTCGGGGTCTGACCCGCCAGTCACGGGATTGATTACCGGCTGCAGCAGCTGCATTTTTTATGGGGGCGAAAATAATTGAGGCCCGTCTGCTTAGATTTGGGTGCACGTTAAAGAACCCCGGGTGGTTAGAATTGCCGTAGACTTCCACTGCAGCGTCTCTAATAATCGTATAGTGATTTCAGGACGTTAAGCCCCCAAAAATATTATTTTTAACCGGTGGATCCTCATCGGTGGACTCACCCACCGCAACAAACAGCCATAGTCTGCGCGCGCCCACGGCATTTCTAAGAAGCAAGCCTCGTTCCATATTGTGTATCTAGATAGGAGTTGGCTTGCATTGAAAATCGTACCATTTGTATGTAGCACTGCCACAACGCATCAACGGGGGGATTGGGCCTCGTATATGCTACAGCGCACACATGTTCGATACAGCGTAAACTATAAATAAACGCGTAATCATTGTGGCACGACAGTAATTAGGTATTAGTTATGAAAGTTGAATACTTTCTTATTATTTATTCACACCAACTGAACTCCCTGCTGTGGTGGTCTAGTGGCTAAGGTACTCGGCTGCTGACCCGCAGGTCGCGGGAACCAATCCCGGCTGCGGCGGCTGCATTTCCGATGGAGGTGGAAATGTTGCAGGCCCGTGTGCTCAGATTTGGGTGCACGTTAGAGAACCTCAGGTGGTCGAAATATCCGGAGCCGTCCACTACGGCGTCTCTCATAATCATATGGTGGTTTTGGGACGTTAAACCCCACATATCATCATAATCATTAACACCAACTGAACTCATCATTACAGGTCGCGGGATCAAATCCCGGCTGGGGCGGCTGCATTTCCGATGGAGGCGGAAATGTTGTAGGCCCGTGTACTCAAATTTGGTGCACGGTAAAGAACCCCAGGTGGTCGAAATTTCCGGAGCCCTCCACTACGGCGTCTCTCATAATCATATGGTGGTTTTGGGACGTTAAGCCCCACAAAATCAAATCAAAATGAACTCATCATTAGCTTAGATTTGACGTTATCAGTCTTATCAGGAAGTGTTGATGTTGAGCAGTCTCTGTTAGCTACACCTAATTACCTTTAGCATAGGCTAGTGCATAAATTTAACTACTAATACACCATCGTACACCCCAACAAAGATGTCGTCGAACATCCGTGTTTTGTTATTATTCATTACTTTAATTACTTTAAAGTAGTCTTGGGGCTCTTGAAGTACTGTAAGTTACTTGGTGCTTAATTATTTATGTATTTCATCGAAGTGTAAAGGTGTAGTGTGCCGTTTCATGATTTTCGCTCCCGAAAATCTCGACAACATGTGGCCGGACGGTCACATTTAGTGACTTATGAGCCACTTAGAGCTGTCGCTTTGAAAAGAGCTGGTGTCAATTATTGCGCGTGCACGTGCGCGTACGTGCCTCCAAGTGCACTCGCGCATACAGAGTGTTTTAGAGACCGCATGCGCAACCGAACAGCCACCCTCTTAAAGGTGCTCAACTCTATTTTTTTGGAGCAAGGTTACACCTATCTAGATGCACTGGAGAGCGAGGCGAGCTTGCTTTGTGTAATGAAGAAGTTTATTATACTAGGCATATCGAGCATGCGCAAACCTTGGCACTGCTTTATCACCGGTGCGCTCCACCAAAGAACGGCCACCACTCCGGTGCTTCAAACGATTATGTGATCAATCAGCTGCGTGCAAATTCTCGTTATATGTGCGCAAATGAAGTTATCAGAAGCGCTGTTTTCACGACGTGAAGTGTTAGATTGATTATGCTTACTCATTTCAGTCAAACAAAGACGACTGTTCTGCGCTTTCACCACCGCGTTCTACACGCCTGCTTCCATACACGCCGCGAAAGTGTAGTCACGAATCGATTTTTTAACGCATGCATGTTTATTTCTCTCGGAAAGAAGTCACAGTCCTTGATGCAAACTACCGACTCAGGATAACGAATGTTACCTGGAATTGACGATAGCGTCATAAATAGGCAATAAAATGTTAAGGCATTTCTTGAACAAGAAAAATAGACACAAAACTTAAGGGGACATAAAACACGAAGGTATAATGGGCTCAGCTTAATGTAAGTGCGCCCTCCACTCGAAAAAAAAAAGTGGGTGAAGTCAATCGCACCTTTTCGCGTGATGAAATAGGCCTGGAAAGGGGCCGCCGGAGCACCGTACGATAGCCGAAGCGTGTGGAGCGTGGACGAGATGGTGGAATTGTCAGTGCCAGGGCTGAGTCTGAGCGCCAGCTGCGGGGTCCGATACGGGTCCCACAAGTGGACAGCGCTAGCGGCGGCAGCGGCCGAGGCAGCGCTGCGGTTTACGAAGCGCAGCTCGACCCGCTGTCCCAGCGGCGCCAATAGGCGCACGCTGTAGGCCGGACCCTGCGGCGGCTGGTGCGGGTAATTGAGGCTCTGCACAAGGCCCCGAGAACGAGCCGGCAGCTTCAGGGTGGTCTCCAGAGAGGGAGTCGACACTGCAGTTGACGCCACAGTAGGTATACGTTAGTTTGGCGGCGCAGTAGTGGCGGTACAGAAATGCACGAACAGCATGAATGTTTATCGGGATGACTGAAACGTAAAGGTATCTCGAACACCCGTGTATTTAGAGTTATGAACACGCTGAAGAACCAAGGTGTTCAAAACTCCAGAAGTGTGGTTAGTTGAGTTGGTCGGCGTGAATCCATCCTCAAAAACCGCGCGAGAACTGAACGAGACCGTCGGGAAAATATATGGACCAGAGCAAGCGCTTTTTTTGTCCATAACTTTTTGCGCACTTTGTTCAATCTTTGTGTATATATATTTTTTTCACAATGCAATCAAACTTAACTAGGAGTCCTCTACTATGCTATACTAAAGGTTATTGCGTACTTCGTAGTACACAAGCCACTTTAATTGAGCCACTTAGTAATATTTTTTGACGACATGAATATAGTTATATTCGTTCCCAATACATCATAGAAAACAGCATAAAACAAGAAAAGGTCCACGTCTGAAGAAAACGTGATATTACATGGTTTACAACAGATACAGAAAGGGCGAAGAGCTTAACTGAGTTTTACCTGGTTTGCTGCCCTACACTGAGGAACGGAGAAGCGGGCATACAAATAGAAGGGAATGGCACATGAAAAGAACAAACAAGCAAGGCATGCACAAACCCAACGGTGTTCATGGTACACCCAGAAATGGCAGGTATGCTCAGTCGCCTAAGCGAGACGACTAAAGTAAGGCTCCTTAAGAAGCAACCAATGTATGCTTTTGAAAACTCACACGAATAGTGTTACATGTATTCAACGTTTAAGCATTTTCGAAAACATGTGTGTGTACATCGTTTGTTTTTGCAACTGATATGACGCATAGTTGTTATGATTTCCCATTTTGTATGAAATATACATAGACGAGTTCAAAAACTTTTCAGCAAGCGCTAGATGGGGCCATTATGCTAGCTCACGAACTAGCTACTTTAGGTTTGTAAGAAAAAAGATGTTTTATAGAGTCCTTGTTTACAGGCTACTATACCTTTCGCAGAGTATTTAATGTCCCTGTATCATCAATCACTGAAGCATATCCGTTTTAACCCCACACAATTCAGGATGTGGTAACACCTAACTTGCCTGGTTTGCTATCTAATATGCTTTATTTACATCCGTGGCATCATCCAATTTTGAGGCATAGTAATGGATAGATATAGTTGAACTGAACAGATCGTATTTCTTAGTTGAATGGAGAAAAGGTGAAGTCTAAGAGACATGATGCGTGGTTTCAGCCCCGACCGCGGGTGTATATATATATATAGTAAAGGGGGCGCAGATGACGGTGCTCGGTCAGCGATCTCGTGCCTTTTTCTTGTAGAGATGATAGTTGAGCCGATTGTATCAACGTCTTTCATCTTTACTATAATTACCCCCGGCGAAAAAGATGAAGCCATCCTGTCAATCTGACACGTGGGGACAAGCGAGTTGAAGTAGGCCTTGAGACGCTTTACGAGAACAATATCACGTCCACGCCGACGATGGTCGCTCGGTGGCGTGAGGGGTTCAATGGCGTAGTTGACGGGTGAGGTAGGCTCGACCACGCGGTAGGGACCATGATAATTAGAGAGTAGCTAGGGTGATACACGAGGGGCGCAGGGCGGTACATGCAGCCATACAAGTACAGGGATGTGGATTCGCTGCATGGAAAACGACAGGATGGCGCGATTGCGAAACTTGCCTCATGGTCAAAAATCATAGAATATCTATGGGGTAAATGATGATGAGTGGGTGATGCTCCGGAGGGAATCATCGGTAAACCATTAATCTTCCGTGTAATTTGCCGAGTCGTTCATCATATAAAGACAAATACGTGACGCCATATTGACGCCTGCAGAGGTTGATATCGTAATATCTAGTGCCATTGAGGGGCATTTTGATCAGACGCTGCAGTATGTGTATGGAAAGCTTTCAAAGTTCACGTTTTTTTTTATGCCGCTATTTCAATGATCCCCTACGGAGAGTTTCATCCGCAGGAAAGGGAACAGCAATGCACAGCAAAACGCAAAGCCGTGTTATGCGGTCACTACCGGCCAGATTTACCTGTGGTGGAAGAACACAAAATGGGCGCCTGAAATGTCTCTGTTAGTCTGTCCGTAGCGAGTTTGCTAGACACACGCCGCTGCGACCACACATTCTAGAAAGCTAAATGAAAAAAAAAAAAAACTCGTGTATTTATTATAAGTGCACCTTAACGAATCCCAGTTGGCAAAATTTAATGCGCAGGTACCCACTATGGCGCTACTCATAGGTTAATCGTACCTTTAGCACGTAAACCACCGGCATTTATATTCTTTCGAGATACCGGTTTTCCCACAATACTAGCTATTAAAAGTACAAATAATGTGTTCACAAGAAAGGGCACTCTAGTTTTTGTGCGCACACACGACGTCTCGTCATGCGCTGCACGAACAAGGTCATTCGCAAGGCTATCGCGAGTAACATTCGACTTTGTGTTCCCTAAAAACACCTCAAATTGTGTATCAAACTGAGGAAGAAAAATGTCACATGTAGCAGCAGGGCCTGCAGACTCGCATAAGTTGTCGGCAGTTGTGACGCGTTGTAGCGCCCCTTATCAGCGCCTCCTCTATTAGGCGCTGCTCTTATATGATGTGGCGCTGTCCACCGATTCATAATGCGCTTGACCCTTCTGCATACAGTCATATAACAGTCCCCGAATGTGTGCTATGACGTAGTGTGTTTTGTTTGTTCTTGCGATGTGCGTATGCACTTATGAAGTAACGAGGAGTCGAAACATTTTAAAGATGCGTTAGGGTAGCCGTATTTTAATACTTTTAAAGCAATGACTCTTCCAATGTTTACGCTGTTCAAGTACTGGTCTCAACAAATTGTAGCATGAGCGCTGCCGTTCCTTCAATCGTAAAAAAAGGCAAGCGCTGATCGTTGCATGAAATGCTACAGATCTTTTCTGATATAGGGGCATGATGTTTGACCAACCTTTTCCTCATAGCGGTAAGGGTAGAATAAGGAAACCTATACGCAATTTTTATTTACATATTACCCGTCAACTGCACACAGTTAGCCCTGGTGATGTTCAGGTTATGTACAAGTTGTGGTCTGAGTCGCACTTTCTCCATATTTGCTTTATAGTATCCCCTTAACTGCTTCCTAACTTTTTCGATGTGGTATGGAATGTCGTGATTCAGCGCTATAAATAACACGGAATCGCAAGAACATGGTGGTGGCGCAAGTCTCTCAACTTATCCAACGCTTGCTTCCCGCATGGTTCGCCGCGGCTATTGTGGCGTATACTTCGGCGTAACGAGCCCGCCATTGTTTGGAACGTACATGCTGTCAGGGTTCTACAGCGTTCAGGGAATAATCAGCATTATTTTAAACAAAGGTGCGGACAGATGGAAACAAGCTCATCGCTTTTCCTGTTCACCCAAGAAAGTAACGCTGCTCGTGTGTGAGAGAGATATAAAAAAAGGGACAATGACCAAACGAAAACGTCAGCTCCACCGAGCCTGGTCACAGATAACTCCGCCCGCCATGGTTACAGCACCTGCATCTCCACAAAGGTGCGGAATCTTTCTAGCATTTCTTGCGAGAAAAATGAGTACCGAGATGAAATAAACCCGCGCGTCGTGGTTCTAAAGAAATAAAACAGAAGCGAACGCCCGCCCAGGCAAAGATATCTCGTCTAGTTTCCTTCAGCTTGAAGCGTGGCAGCGAAACAAAGAGCTCGGAATGGATGGGCGCAGCAGGGGAAGAAATAAAAGTGAAAGATATACAAAGACCAAGCCTATGCCGGTGAAAAATCTGTCCGTGGCATCTTACTTATCGCAAGCAGAGAAAGCAATCGCCGAAAAGAGGGCGCACTCGGGGTTTCTCAGCTGCCACGAGAAGAGACAGCGACGAAACGGCGACGAATAGTGCCTTCAACAGGCGGCCGAAATATAAGGCGGCAAGACCTTCTTTCTTGATTGGTTTTGTTTTAGCCGAGAGCCGCTTTCTGCTGTCCTTGCGAAGAGCTCACAATATTTCTTAATAAACGGGCACGGGGAAATTAAAACGCGCGCACATGCTCTTTGTGTCCTCTCAGACAGGGACGAAGGACGGCCAATTTTAATCATTTTCTATCAAATGAGGATGGAGAGCAGTTGAACAAATAAAACAAGAGGTGGGGGAGGGGGAAGATGGAGATGAAAAAAAAGAGAAGTTGGGATCAGGGCCTAGAAATGCTACGAGACCCATGGAAATGCTTCTTGCGCGCCGTATGCAATTGCGTGTGCGCGTGCAGCACGCGAAAAGATAGCGCTCGGGACTAATTGCGAGGAAGCTGCTTCACTCCATTGTATAGACGAGGACACATAAATGGAGGGAGGAGGGCATGAGAGAAAAGGGTGCGGAGCAGGTGTAGAAGCCCCCGGATAGGAAATCGTACGAATGAACGTCGAAGTGAGGAATTTCGTCGGGGATAGGGGCACCGAAATCACTTAATTTTTTCGGTCCCTTTCTTGTTTTTTTTACTGTCTTCTTTTTTCTTACACTCTCCAAGAGATATTGCACAAATGTCCCGCAATACTATTGTGTGGAAATCGCACAGTGAGCGCCGCGCGAGAGAAATGATAACAAAAAATATAAAATAAAATAAACTAAAAACAGAAGAGCAAGACAAACTGAAGACGCGCGGGCAAAGAGCAGAAAAGATTTGCAGGGTATGTGAATAGAACCGGAGATTAAACTGGGGAGGAGGGTTCCCCTTTCATAGCCGTACTCGTTGGAAACAGCAAGCGATTCCACAGATCACGAATGTGAAAAATAGAAAAAAAATCGGATTACGGTGAAGGGAGAAGAGGAGCCGACAACAGCGCTGGCTGGAAAGCGCGGGAAAACCAAGATAAAAAAAAGATGGCAACGATGTGCTAGAGAAACCATTAACGAAGCAGCCGCACAGACTGCTTGTTCCTCATTTTCTTTTC